CCTGGTGGGAATGGGGAGAGAGCACAGTCTTACAGCTTCTTCGTGGGTTAATGCTCAAGGATGCTCTCATGAGTCTGTTTTTCTGCTGGATACACAACCCAGAGTTTGAACAAAACCCTTAATCTAAAAATCCTGTTTAGAGTCTGTTATTACTACATATGGATTCGTTCTCTAGGGGGAGGAAATCTTTGTTTTAACAGTCCTTTACAGGCAAGTTATAGTACAAAAATACACTTTTACATCACTGCTGCTGTTGAACAACTACAGCTTTGCTCATGGAACTGATGATGATGTGGGTGAAGTATATTCACTCTGCTTTTCAGCTGTGTTGACTTGGGGAAAATTAGGAGTAGCAAAAAATGAAGCTATTGTAGACTGGTGTATTGCTTAATATTACAGATGTATGAAGTAGGAATAAATAAGAGATGTGAATTGGAAATTGAATCATAGAGACCTGGTATCTTATATAGAGTACCTGTAAAGATGTTCCTGCTCCATAAAGTCTCTAGAACTGAAGCAAAATTTAAGTGAAGTTAAATGAAATGATTGAGAGCTTGTGATGGCGGTGGAGGGATGTTGGGTTGTATTAGAGAAGAAAGAATAAATCCTGGACCTTTCAGTTAGATTCAGATACCTGTTTGGCTTTAGGGTCAAGGATTTGACCTTTCAAGAGAGAGGTATTTTTGGAAGTTATAATTCACATTTAGATCATCCAGTACCTGCTCCTAGCCAGTACAAGATTTGTTCCTTTGAGTACATGTTTATTTCCTCCAGTCTAATTATACATATCCCCAGTGATTGCTTTTTTTTATGAATTCTCTCTATAAATGTTCATATTCTAAACTAGTCTCTCTGGGTTCTCTGCTTTTAATTTGCTGCAGGGATGAACCCTGAATCCTTACTTGCAATTCAGGATAAGAGATTGGAGTAATGGAAAGGAAAAGTATGTTTTGCCAAATAAGGGACCATGTTGGTTTGATGCAGTTTAGTTTAAAATTCAGTGTGTTGGGGTATTTTTCTGTCATGGCTGGATAAAGTTGAAACCTTCTTTTTCCCCTTTGCCTTTCTTTCTGGGAGAAGAGAAACAGGGATGACTTCCTTTGACCAAGCTGCCCAAGCCAGGGCTCATCCCTGTGGGAGCTGAGCCCCATGGTTGCAGAGGTGCCGACTTCCACCCTGGAGTTTTCCGACATATATGTCTAGCTGGAGATGAGAAAGGAAAAGCAGGTACCAAAGGCAAATTAAGTGAGAGTCAAAAGAAAGGCAGTCTCTTTGGTGTCACTCTGCATCCAAGCAGGGGAAAAGATGAAAGGCTCTGCATACGCTTCAGTAGCCTTCTCTTTTTTCTTGTTCCAGGTATCGGTTTGCCCCCTGAGGAGCAGAGGCGCAGGGATGCTGTGACTACTTACTCTTGTTTGTTTATGTTCATTTTGAAGAGACATGTGAGCGGAGCTGCCTGGGCTGCTTACGGCAAAGGAAATGGATCTCAGGGGAACAATTAATTTTTCTTGGCTATTTCTGAGCCAGGTGAAACCGTAAAATGAATTGTGTGTCCTCCCCATTGTCTAAAAGGGCGGTATTTGTTTATTCTACATTTTAATGCACCACTGACAATTTATGGTGTGAGCCTCGATGAATTTTTAATAGAGAATTGATAGGAGAAAGGTGTATAACATGGGAGATTAATAGAAAAGGTTATTGGACTTGAAAAAGGAAAAGGAAGAAAAAGACAGAGCTGATATTTTAATTAACTGCTCCCTGCCTGTGTTGTGATCCCAGAGACATGACGATTGAGTGCCAGAAGGTGAATCTGCTTGGAAATAAAGTGATTTCAGTCTTGTATTAGAGGTGAGAAATGAGACAGCGCTTCAGTATTCTTACAGTTTGAATAGTCTGGGTTGCTGTTTGCAGCACAAAGCAGAGTTTATTGGAATTAAGGCAGTCTGCAGAGCTGTGACCGATTGTGTTGGAGAGTAATAGTAGTAAAAAATAATAACAAAATATAGTATGTAAAATAATAAAAAGCAGAAACAGTAAAAAAAATGTAATGGAAGTAAATATAATAATCATAGAAAGGTTTGGGCTCCACCTCCCTTAATCTTGTTCTTTTAAGAGATTAGACACTTTAGATTCAAACAAAGGACTAAATGCATTTGTGTCCTGCTGATTTATCTGTCATGGGACTGTTGGACCTTTGGGTGGGCATGTGGACAGGGGTTACACTTTTCAGTTAGGCCACTGCTGATGCGTGGTTGTGCCCAGCTTCATTTTGCGAAGAGGAGCTGCGCTCAGGGAGCAAATTAACACCTTCCAAATGACACCCCAGGACTGTCGGTAAAGCTTTTCTCCCTCTTTTGTGAATCCTGGCAATCTTATTAATTGTGCTGCCGAAGAGCAGTGTCAGGGGAACAAAGCAATCAGTGCCACCATCTGCTGTGAGCAGGCTGGCCATGTTGAAGGGAATGCCTGTTACGCTCTTTTCTGTGGCTGACCCCCTCGCTCACACTTGCATCCACATGTCTCGGAAATAACAGCCATCAGGGTGTTAGACTGATGGAAAAAGGGGAGGTTTATTTTGAGGCGGAGAAGTAGTTGTGTTGCTGTTTAGATCTCTAGAGAATAAGTCACAGGACAGTTTTCCTATGGGAAACAAGAAATTAGGACATTGAGAGAGCTAGTATAAAACTAAATACATTTTAAAAAATAAGTTTCTTACGTCTCCAGTATTGAACTAGTCTCTGCTTTCTGGATGAAGATGTGATTGTTTCATTTGTAGATGGCATAACCTTCCCCTAAGAGCATATAGTAACATTTTACCCAGTCAGCTTCACAGTGAGCAGGAAAATACTTCTATTTGGTTATGCATGCATATCCCATTGGTATCTGGTCAGAGTTTCTGACCATTAAATACATCAGATAAGTCAAACTTGCATTAAATGCACCAGAAGTGATGCACAATAGCCAGTTTCACAAATTTTGGTTTTCTAAGTCTTTTCCCTCTGATAATGGACGTGCAGTGCCTTTGGTATGACTGGTCTCTTGTAAAATTCTTGGTCGATACGGGGTTGGATTTTTTCCTGTATAAGTTCATGATATCTGGTTCTGAATGACTGAAGAGAAAATAGTCTGTTTTTTTCCCTCCCTTCCAGAATCTGGCTCATTTAGCAACAGAAGGGGAGTAAATGTATGTTCTCTTTATGAAGCGCATTCTGAGAGATTGTACGGCTGCTTAGTGATGCTTTGCAGGGTTTTCCTGCTGGATGCCTGTTCAGGGAAGCTGCATGTTTTGTGTTCTAGAAAATGAGTAGTTGATCTCAGCCATGTAGACCTCCAGTACCTCACACAGTAACGCTCCCTGTTTCGTGTTTGGGCAGGTGACCGATGCTTAACGTAGCTCCCTCCCTGACAGCAGCTCATGTAAGGAAAAAAAAGAAGCAAGAATAAAATATCAAACCCTGGAGGCCTATTAGTTGTGTTGAATGCTTTGAAAACCTTTGCTGGAATAAATATCGATGTAGCAATGATGTGCTCACGTGACTTTTATTAGGGAATAGCTATCAAGCTCAGACCTGACCGTGCGTGCAGCTAAGCGGTGGAACAGATTACACAGGGGGGTTGCACTGTCTTCATCTTGGGGATTTGTAACACCAGACTGGATAAAACCTGGTCTGACCTCAGAGCTCACCTTGTCTTGAGCAGGAGGTTGGACTCGATGACCTCCTGAATTCTTTACTACTTGAATTTTCCTGTGATCCTATTAGGTTGTGAGCAGCTTTACAGAGGGAAGAAACAAGTATCTTCACCACTGCTTCCTCTGTAAATTGGTCACTAACAAAGGTACATGCCAGTTAGCCATAGAGTCTTGGTCTTCAAGGGTGGTAAAGCTGAGCCTGAGCCATCACTCGTGACTCTCATGGCATGGCTGTTCAGTCCAGTTCCTGTCAGAAAAGCCACTGAAGTCACCATTGCGGCAGCACTGAGTGACTGGTGGTCACATTGACACTGAGGCCATGGTCTGCAGGGGCCAGATATCTGTAGGTTACTTTCAGCTGCAGTGGAGAGATGGTGATTATCATTCCTGAGTATTACAGGACTGGTTGTGCTGCACCACTGGAACAGAGAAATAGACCAATTAATTGCTTGAGTTCATGTCTTGCAACTTTTTCAAGCCCTAGATTAATGCAAGCAAAGCAAAGAGCACAGAGTGGTTGACATTTAATGAAACGATTTTTAGTGTTTGGAGGAGTGCTTTATGATTATCTACTATGGTGACAGATTTACTAAAAAGCCATGAATAGATTGCATAGATAAAAACATTATTGCTCTAGATAACATTATTGCTCCAAAGGTGAGACTTGTTTGTCCTGCTTGTCTGTAAATCACGCAGCATGCTTTCAGTTCTATGTAGGCAGCAGCTTTTTGTAGTAAAAGCCTTAGAAAATTATTTTGAAGAACAACAACCATGATTTTTTGAATGTCTGGAAAAAGGCATAGAAGCGGGAATCCATGTTAAATAATAGAAGGGGTAAGAGCTCTAGCAAGAAGAATATACCCATCTTTGATGCCTGTTTGACTCTGTAGTGAAGAAGCAATGTTGAATGTGAAATGAATCCTCTCAAGATAGGGTATTGTCCTTAATGGGATTGCATGAAATGGAGGTCTTCCACACTGCTTATATTTATACTAGGTACTTTATTTTTTTTCTTGCAGCAAAGAAAACTTGTGCCGAGTCGGATTTCACTTGTGACAATGGCCACTGCATCCCAGCCAGGTGGAAATGTGATGGTGAAGAAGAGTGTCCTGATGGGTCAGATGAATCAGAAGCAGCCTGCAGTGAGTAGCACAGAAAAGTGATGTTTCTCAGACATGTTGTCTTATGAAAGCATAGAGAAATTGGAGGTGGTGTTCCCAACACATGCAGGTTGATCTGTCAACTTTTGTTTCTGTTAGAACAGAAATTAAAGACACAAAAGATTCAGGTCATTCAAATCAGATGGTTTACAAACATGACGGTTTTCCAGACTGAGAGACAGCACTATCTAGTGTGTATTTCTGTCTGTAACAGAATCAAAAACATGTCTGGCTCTGTTACAACCAAATAAACTGTAGAGTTCATGATCAGCAGTGGTGCATGAAGATTCACACTCACCTGGGATCAGGCCTTTTGGAAACTCGGATTTGCAGCAGTTTGCATGGTAGCATATTGGGATTTAATCGGCACTGCAGACAGCACTTGTGTCATTACAGAGGAACTTTGCAATGTCAGAGTACTGCTCCATTATTATTATTTTGCTTTTGAGAACAAATGAAGAAAAAGGTAGCAGATGGAAGATGAGCAATGTAAAATAACTAAAGCTGAGAGTAAGTATGACAGATGTTAACTGCAGGTAACATCTTTAAAAAACCCATCTATTCATTCAGTCAAAAAGACATGCTTGATTTTTGTGTAGTGCGTTTAATCTTTTTCTTTTGACTCTCTGAGGAGGTCCATTTGTGCTTCATTGTTCTAGAACTGTGAGGGGTTGTCTGATGTTGAGCTGAAGGGAATCCCAGGGTTATTTTAATGAAGACACTAATACATAGCCTTCTATTTGTGTGCTTCCTTATGTCTGCAGATTTGTTCTTGGACAGACTAAGAAACTAGTACAAGCCATTCTATTGAATTTCCAGTCACATACTTCACAAATATATTCCCATGAGTCAGAAGCAGTGTTAGAGGAAGTATTTTATTGGATTTCACCAGAATGGGACACATGGAGGGCTTCAAAATTAACCATACTTTTTATTTTTAAGCTTAGTAGCAGTCCTACTTTCTCCCTAATTAAGAAAGATGAATGCACTGCTCTTGCATAAAATGAATTGAATCACTTTTGCAGCCGTATACAGGCTACAGAAAAGAATTACTTCAGTAACTGCATTAACATATTTATGTATTGTATGTGTTGGTCTTTCACCCTGCCTCATCCTTAGTCAAAAACTATCTTATTAATGCTGCTTCCACTACCTGATTGCCTGGAGGGGTGCTGAATAACTAAGCAGCTCCATTCCCTGCAGTTGCTGTCTGTAAATCTCTTGTCAGAGGCCATAGCCTCAACCATGCAGTGCTAAGATCCCTGACAAATTCTCTTAATCATCTTCCATTCCTTTGCTAGCCCCTTCACCTTCCGTATTTCCCTCTCTTATGTTCATTCTCTGGGGAAATCAGCCTTAAAACTTAAATATCATAAAGGAGACGCGATGTGAGCTTCTGATTGTTACAGTATGGGACTGTCATCCTGAGAGGAAAGCAATTTGTTCAGTTTTGTGGGATAATATTTTAATTTTTTTTAATTCTCCCCCCTCCCCCTTGAAACTTTGCAAGTGACTGAAGTCTATATTTCTGTGTCAGTTCTTCTGTTCAGAAAAACAGATGGCCCTTGAAACATTTCCCTGCTGCTCATGGGAGTGGGCCAGTGTCACCTCAACACAGGGAGAAGTTTGTTCCCATTCTGTAGTATATGCCTAACAGATAAATAGGGAATTCCTAGTGAAAGTAGCAGTACCTGTATGGACAATTCTTCATTTATTTTTTTAAATACAAGGGCTTTGAAACCAGCTCGAAGTCTATGGCATATAACTATGCCATGTTTCATTTGTTTGTATCAAGCAGATTTGCTATGCTTTGTCTCAGCATAAAGATATTTAGATTTTGTTATGAGTTTTAGCCAAAATAGGTCAATTTGTGTGATGAATGCATGAACTTGTGTCTTGACGTTCACAGGAGACTCAATACAAGCCTATGTCTGACGTGGCTAGCTCTCAAAAGAAGCCAATGTTTCTGTCTGCACCAGTTTAAAAACTTCCCTTTGAGTCTTAAAAATGTCTGCAACTAGAATTTTAGTGCTTTTTTATAGGATTATTCAGATCTGAAGTTCACACTTAATCAGATGAAGATCAAGTAATTTTAATCTTATGACTGTTGATAGCTATAGGCTTTAATTTGCATGGTAAGGACATGCTCTCCAGATGTTTTGTATCCTTGTCAAAGTATGCGTCATCTCAAAGGCTGATCCAATCTGCTCTGTGAGGAAACAGAGCCAACCTGGTAATGCACAAGCACAGTGCTGGTTGTGGAGTTAATTCACATATATTTGCAGGTCTTCCTGCCATCACTGGTAAAGAAACAAGTGAGTTATGAACCTGATGGACTATTAAATTTAAGAAACTGGAGTGTTCAGGATTTTTTTTTTAATTTGTACCCCTCATGTAAAAGGCCTAGCTCTCTGTGCATGCAATTATTATTTAAGGGCAAAGAGGAGGCTGTAATGACAGACAGAAACTTTAGTGAGAGGCAAAATGTATAGTTGAACATTCCTGTATGGTCCCTTCAGTCCCATTTTATTTCTCCCTGATGAAGCCAAGACTGAGCTTCTCCCTGTGCTGAGAAATGACTGCAGGCCCCTATAACTGTCTCATTTTCTTGTTTAGAAATGCAGCACAGCCCTTTAGAGGAGCCTGCACTGCAGAGTTCCCCTAGGGAAGGGGCAACTTGGCACACGGAGATTTCTCACCTCTGGCAAGATCATACTGCTTTATAAAATCAATTGCGTTCAGACAGGCTGCATAATTGCCAGCACTTCTGCCAGGATCCAGGGTTATTCCTCAATTAATGCAACATTGGGACATTGTAGTCCATTCAAGCTAGGGGGGTTTCTTGCTTTAACAATGCTGACTGTTGCATTTTAGGAGTATTTCCAGCTTAAAATGTGATGAAGACAAGGCAGTTCCTCTCAGCATCTAGCCACCTGCTAAATGACTTTATTTTCTGAATGCTTCTGTTGTATGTTTTTTAATTACGTTTTGTGCTTTCTTATTGGTAGTTAGGGATATTGCATCCTAATCTCTAATGCTCGACTAAAGGTAACAGTTTTTGGTGTCTGTGTCTCTTTTTTTTTTTTTTTTAAGGTAACCCCACTGCAAAACCAAACGAGTACTTCACTTTTTTGGTTTCCGAGATCATTGAAGTTGCTCAGCTTTGTACCTAACAGTATCCTCTCTAGGGATGTTACCCATCCCCAGGTGTTCAGGACAGCATGACCTGGGTCCTGTCAGATAGGCAAGACAGCATCACAGCTGACCTGACTCCTGTTGGACCTGTGATATCTGGGGCCTTTTCTGCTATTCATGCAATTATTTTTTTTTTAACTACATTTTCTTCAAGCCACAGAATGTGGCTGGAAACAGTAGCTGTAAGGGTATCTCTTCAGTCCCACTGAATTCTCAGCTGATGAGATCTATAGCACTTACTCCTGTGATGGGTTTTGGTGTTAATTGAAGGTTGATTAATTTCTAACATGGGCTGATATTGGAGAAGATGGTTATCCAGGCTTTTATTTCTTAATTTTTCTTCTAATCAGATTCTTAACCTAAACATGCTCTCACATCTATAGGTTTGTCCAAGTGAATTATTCATGTAACATGTGAGTGTCACCACTAAACCTCAGTGTTATGCCATCTGTCAGTTTCTCAGTGCTATTATCTGGCTGCTGAATTTGTTTGTCTCAATTTATATTAAGGTTTCAAAGAAATGTGTCCCCTCTTTCTGTGAGCTGATCTATTCAGGATCATCTTGTGGGCTGGATCTGTTCTCTCTGAAGCCATCATCAGAAGTACTGTTAGTTTGGGCGGGAGGTGTGTTTTATTATGGTTTTTTTTATTTCTTTGTGGAAACAGAATGAGCCCCTACATCAAAAGAAGCAGCGTGAACTCAGAAACTAGTGCTATCCACAAGGAGCAGAAGGGACCAAATTCACTGTTCAAAAAGTTGTGTTGATTGAGGCTGGGGGAGGGATGAGAGTGAGGAGGAATTTTAATATTGAAGAGTAGAAAGTTATTTCGAGAAACATACTTAATAAATGAAAAGAAATTGGGTAGTGGGTGAGAGGGAACAAAAGAAACACTGTTTAACTGTGCTGCAGTGGTTCTCCTGGTGGGGAAGGGGAAGAGTTAGTCCTTGGGCATGCCAGCTTCCAGCCTCGTCTCCCTTGACAGAGCCTTTTTTTAGAGTCAGGAATTGCCTGAACTAGGCCTCTGTACAGGAAAGGTTGCCTGCTTGTACATAAAGCCAATGAACCACTTTGGCCTTGCAGGATACATGCTAAGAAATAGCAGGGGGAGAAGCAGGTTTGTCCTCCTGTTTTGACATCAGCCATTGCTCCCTGCCTGCCCTGAGGGAGAGCCTAGGGTAGGTGCAAAACTGCTGTTGCTGGAAGGTGCTCCCAAATGATAATGGATTTCATCTTCACTGTGCCAGCTTGTTAGTATGCAAGGAGCTCCCCATAAATCATTAAAAAGCATAGCAAAGTATCTGGAAGTAACAGGAGTAGAGTTAGTGCCTCTGTCAGCCCGATGCCTGAGACTCCCACGTACCTCACCAGCAGCTGTTTTGAGATACAGAAAATATTTTTGACCTCGGAGTAGTCTTGAATGCTGAGGATTTTACAGTTGTTTGCTGCAAGCTTATACAGCAGCATGCCTCTGCCAACTGCAGGAAGCCTTCTGTAGCCTACTCGTATTGTCCTGTTGGAGAGCCCACCATGGCCAGAGCCCTGGACTTATTTTTCGTTGCTCTCACTGAAAGCAACGCAGTGTGTCTTGGTGATCATCCTAGAGCTGTGATGTAGCCGCTGCTGATATACACAGGCTTTGCTTATGCATATGAAAAGATTCCTCACTATTTTTCTATCTAGTTTCTTGAAGCTGACAAGAGGGGGAAGGGAAGTAATTTTTCTTACTGAGCTAACAGAGACCTCCAGCAAAATGAATGTTACCTACCTAATGCTGTTCCAGTGCAG